TTGATATTACATATATAGGTACTACATGTGGACATCTCAGATTTGTTCATTTTGTGATGATATCTTCAATTCTCTAATTAATTTATTTTGGTGAATATTTTTGTAATTTTCGGTAAAAAGTGATATTTTCGACTTCTTGTTAAAAACCGTAAGTCCGATTGCTTTGATACTATTCATATTGTTCATTTTCTAATGATGTCTTCAGTTCTTTAATTGAAATGTGCATTGCTAACAGCGGAGCTATCTCAGCCGATAGGCTGCTTGTTCTTATTTAAATTTTAAATTCATATATGTCTAGTTTTTCAATTATCATTCCCATGCCTTATTGGTATGATATGATATATATATTAAATTTATTTTCAATTGATTAGATTTTAAAGGTTTACTATCCTGGTTTGCCGTCGCATCCCCAACATGAGATCGCAAAGAAACAAATGAAATTGTTTGGTGGAATGGTTAGTTTTGAGCTGAAGGGAGGATTGCAAGCCGGCAAGACATTTGTAGAGGTGAGTTCAGAATCATTAATGCACAAGTTTTGTCAGCTGTCTAAAAATAAAGATTCATTCACGAACGGTTCCAACTTTTAGGAAACTTGGTCCCCAGGTGCTTGCGTTCAACTGGACCTGGTAGACGCCATGTGAAGTCTGATTTATTTACAGTTGATAGAAAATATTATATAGAAACTAAAGATTTGAAAAAAAATTATTGATGATGATGTAAGAAAAATAAAAAAGTACATAGTGGATCACTCCATCCATTCATCCATCTAGACTTATTTCTGACACATAACTTGTTGAGTTTCATTCAACTTTTCACAAAGACATCATTTTGTTCATGATCAGTCTAATAAGGCTGCTTCAAAAAAGAGTCGCTCATGTTTTTTTTAGCTCCGCTGTTGACTTTGTCGAGCGGAGCTTATCATATGAGTGATTGTCCTTCGTTGTCCATGTCAACTTTTTACTTTTTCGACTTCTTCTTGAAAACTACAATTCTTATTGCTTTGATACTAGGTGTACAAGTACCTTGGGCAGATCTCTCTTTGATTTGTTCATTTGTGATGATATCTTTAATTCTCTAATTTTGTTAATGTTATTTTTGGAAAAAAGTGATATTTTCGACTTCTTGTTAAAAACTGCAAATCCAATTTGTTTGATACTATACATATAGGAACCTCAGGTAGACCTCTCTCAGATTTGTTAATTTTGTGATGATATCTTCAATTCTTTAATTTTGATGAATTCCGATTGCTTTGATACTATACATATAGGTACATGTACCTCGGGTTCACCTCTCTCCGATTTGTTCCTTTTCTAATGATATTTTCAGTTCTTTAATTGAAATGTGCATTCCTTGTTTTCTGTTTTTTTCCCAAAATATGGTATAAGAAAAAAATTACAAATGAGAGGACTAAGAACAAATCCTTTTTTTAGTCTTTTCTTTCAAATTGACAATTGAACTATCATTTTGTTTTTGTTAATTTGATAAAAACAGGCCAACTAGTGGGCATTTCAGATCCAAGCCTGGACTAGTTTCATTCACATTTGACAATAATGTCAGAGCAATGTAGCATACCATATCAAAGTAATAGCAGAGATATTACATTATCACACATACCAGAATTGTGTGAACCATTTATAGAATCTATGGTTTACATGACATTTATTTATCTTGTAGAGTTTACGAATCCCACATTTAGCTGTGTCGTTGGGTGGTGTGGAAAGTCTAATAGAACATCCTGCTAGCATGACACATGGCAAAGCACTTTTAGGTGAAGAAGCATTTAAACAAAGTACAGTTCCATTGGGACTTGTACGATTCAGGTAATGTTTTATTGTAACTTTATTGTATTATTAAAAATACAATACTTCCATCAAGCCGGATGGTGATAGAGATAACTCTACTATGCTGCGATTATCGCATTTTAGCAAAATGTCTTTCACTTCAAGTTAAATCAAAAAAAGCTTAGAAAGAACTCCCGTGTGTATTAGAGACACAGTAAAAATTAATTCAAAATTACTTGTGCTTGAGATATTGATGGAAAAGCTGAAAACTAATTATGCAAATCAGAAAATTAAAATGAACAGAGTGTAAAACTAATAAGGTCAGCGCAATGTAACAGACCATCTATGTACCAAGTTTTATTGAAATGTGATCAGAACCAAACAATTATGAATTATTATGCTAATTAGGGTATTTATATGAACAGATTTTAACACAAAACTGATCATATTTGTACATTGTCCTAGAGCATCTACTTGAGATATCAGTGTGAATGTTGAACATTTATTAATTATGCAAATTAGATGATTAATATGCATAAATATATACAACTAATTGGCTTTCTGCATAGTTAGATTCATTTAAAGATGATGATTAGTACTCAAGATATCAGTGAAAAAGTCGAAAATTAAATAATTATGCAAATAAGTTAATTAATATGCACAATTATTTACCCCAAAATTAATCAGATCTCTGCATAATTCTAGAGGATCTATGTACCAAGTTTCATTGAAATGTCATGATTAGTACTTGAGATATATGTGAAAATCCGAAAATTAACTAACTATGCAAATTAGGTTATTAATATGCACAAATATTTATCCCGAAACAATCTATCTATGCATAGTGCTTGAGTATCTATGTGCCATGTTTCATTGAAATGTAATGCTTACTACTTACTAAAATTAATTTATTATGCAAATTAGGTAATTAATATGTACTGATGTTACCCTAAAAACTACTAGGTCTGTGCAGTGTCCTATGACATCTAGGTACCAAGTTTCATTGGAATGTGATGATTAGTAGTTGAGATATCAGTGGAAAGCCGAAAATTTACTAATCATTATGCAAATTAGGTAATTAATATGCACAGATTTTGACCCAAAACTAATAAAAACCTGGCAACAGTTCAGAGCATCTATGAACCAAGTTTCATCAAAATCCAATGAGTGGTTCTTTAGATATCAGTGGAACAGTTATGGAACAGCTGAAAATTAGTTAAGTATCATGCAAATTACGTAATTAATATGCATGGATTTTTACTAAAAACTAATCAAATCTGCGCATAAGTTCAGAGCATCTATGTACCAAGTTTCATCAAAATTCAATGAATGGTTGTTTAGATATCAATGGAACAGTCATGGAACAGCTAAAAATGAGCTAATTATCATGCAGATTAGGTAATTGATATGCATGGATTTCTACCAAAACCTAATCAAATCTGTGCATTGGCCCAGAGCATCTATGCACCAAGTTTCATCAGAAACCGATGTATAGTTTTTGAGATATCAGTGGAACAGACGGACACACACACACACATACACATACAGACACACTAACTGCAAAGACTCCCATTTTGTGCTTCGCACACGGGAGTCAAAAAGTTATTTCTGATATCCTTGGGCATGACCAAACCAGGTTTATTCATAGGATGTTTCATTGCAGACAACATCGGAAGAATTTTGAAAATTATTGAATATTATGAGCATGAAAATGAACCTGGGCTTATTAGTCCCCGTTTGAACGCAGTCCGAAAACGGGGACTTATGTTTTGACCTCTGTGCGTCCGTGCTTCCGTCCGTGCGTGTGTGCGTGCGTCCAGACCTGTATCTCAGAAATGCCTGGACTAATCACAATCAAACTTCACACATACATCATACATGATATTATACATATGCACATCAATTTGTTTCATGATCTGATTTAAGATGGCCGAATGGCAGCCATTTTTGTTCTAAAAATCCTCAAAATCAAGCATTTCTCGGCTACGTTGGACATTATATGACCTTGATGCACATCATTTTGTTTTCAGATAAGATTCAAAATGGCCGACTGGTGGCCATTTTGTGTTAATAAATGTGGTTCTAGTGCCATATCTCTGACTTGCTTTGACTGATTATGTTCAAATTTTAAATATTCATTATACATCATGTCATAGATATACAGATATATTGGTTCCGCGTATTTACCATAATGATACTTCCTTTTGTTGTAAAATATTTAAATACTTTCTTTCCGACTTTGCTAAGCTGGGTAAACCGGACCTATTCAAGTTTGACACTTATCAATCAAGTTTTCTGAATGATATCATTTCAGCATGGTTGCAGTATAATTATACGAGTGCAAATAACATAGAAAATATACTTTAAGAACTAATATGAATAATTCTAATATTCGTATTGACAACATGACTGTTGCTTGGAAATGCTTTATACAACACGGTATAATATTTATTAATGATCTTTTAAATGCAGACTGTACATTTCACACGTTTCAAGATTTGGTATCACACTACAGGAATATATGTATATTTGAATATCAACAGTTATTATCTATTTGGAAGTGCAGTATTGTTGAATCTAACATGTCAAAACTAATGGTCTGTATGCCAAATATGCATAACAATATCTGGCTGTCAGAAACTAAAGTTACTAAAAGTGTTTACCTTTGGTACTGCTATGAGGAATTTCCTGATTCAACCCCCTCAGTTATACAGCAACATTGGCTGGACATTTTGAACACCCCTTTACCTTGGAAAAATATTTATTTTGCTCCCTTTTCTATTACTGGCGATGCCAAATTACACTATTTTCAATATAAAATTATTATGAAAATATTGCCTTCAAATAGGTTGTTGTGCTTGTGTGGCTTTGATTCCTCCCTGTGTTCTTTTTGTGAAGAAGTTCAGGAAGACTACTTTCCTTTATATTAGGACTGTAGATATGTATTTGTATTTTGTACATCAGTCAATAAATGAATGGTTTTTGACTCCCGTGTGCAAGGCACACAATCAGTGAGGTCGCCAAAGCCTCATTTGCATATCTACGTTCATTCGCGCGTGTGGCAGTTACGTTTCAAACCAGCCGAGCACTGCATTATTTCACACATTTTAAACTTGCACTGGCTTTAATTCGGAGTTCCCAATACAAAGTTCCTGTGTTTATTTAGGATTATTGACATTCCAGCTTCAAGGCAGACCACTTATTATGGATCGTTCATCAAAGTTAATATGATATTTGAGGTGGTTTTTGAAGGTCGGTATTTCTCTCTAGTGTTGAGATACACTCTCGGACTCCCATTTTTAAAACAGTTGATTGGAAATTAACCATACTTTGCCAACATGTGCATTGTATTTATATTTTATAAGTACAAGACATTTTTTATTTTATAAGGCTTGTGTAAGACTTGGCCGAAGAATTTTCCACTGGCGAATGGGAAGTAACCTAAATTATGACCTATGACCTCAAAGCTTTCAATATTGCATTGAAACCCGGAAGCACGGTATATATATGTAATTACCGGGCGTGAACAGTTTTACGTTTTGTTTTTACTTTAACTATGTTCCATATAATGCGGAAACAATATTGTATGTTGGAAAATGTGTGTAATGAAGCTGTATACTGGCAATTAAATGTATTTAACCTGAAACACCCTTGCCTGCATTGCTTTCTTATAACATGAAATATTTTATAAAACACTGAAGAAC